CTCTAGTGATTGGTCTAGTCGCATGTAAACACATTTTGTTCACAGAATTATACTAGATGCGTCTAGACCAGGGGTAGGCAACCTTAGCTCTCCAGCTGCGCTGAAACTACAAATCCCAAAAGGCATTACAAGCCACAGGCATGACTCCCAGAGGCAGAAGCATGATGGGATTTCTAGTTTCAGCACAGCTGGAGAGCCAAGGTTCCCTACTCCTGGTCTAGACACATATACACGTATATGCACACATGTGTAAATCATTTACGCATATAAAAGCATAAATTCAGCATCTAGCCTGCCAGATTTTTTTCGGTGTATAGAGCTATGGAGTGCAAGCAGCAAATATGAATGTAACCTTATACTGCCTATCTTGTGTAAGTTGGCACCTACCAAGTAACCTGGTTGGGTTAACCCTACCCTACAGAGGTTCTCCTAGACAAGACTTTGCTAATGCATCCTTTTTGCTGAACGCATACAGTTTAAGGAACCTATTAGGCTGTGTAAGGCATATGTTATGTTAGGGGTCTTCTATGGGACAGAACCTTTTTCCAGGCTATACTTTGAAAATCACTAGATTTGCCCTGTACCCACCTCAAGCATGGCTTCGGGTGGTTGAATTCATGCTTTTAAGTTCTGTTTTAATTTGACACATGAGAATTGGCCTTATATCAGGGAGGATATCACGATTGTATTCGCTCTTGTATTATATACAGTTTAGGGAAGTGTTGTGTGGTGGAAAAGTAGTGTATTATGGTTTTATGCTAGATTATTTTCTATTAAACACTGGAACAGAACGCAGAGGTGTGATTTGAGACCCTTGTTCTGGACACACACCTGAATGCAGCTGAGGTGGACAAGCCCTAATAAACAAAATTGTCAGAGACCAGCTACATACTGCATGACGCACGGTTAAGCGTGGAGCTGTGTTTGGGTGTATATCTTTTAGACATAATAGTCTATTGGGTACAACTACATGGTAGGGTGTTTTTACTCCTACAGATCTAGTAGGCTGAGGTAATGACCTGCTTCTTCACATACATCAGCTTCACTATTCTGCCTCTAGTATTGGGTGAGTATCAGACCTTAGGTCATAGGCCAGCCATCTGATATTTGTTTTATTTCATAGTCGCCTCTTCTTGCTCAAGGGCACTTTTTAGTGTATGTTGGGTATTCAGTAATGTCTGCAAAGCTGCTGATCGGTTTTCCCTGTTAGGAAAGATGGGTTGCTGAGAGTGCATGTAACGAAGGGTTAAATGCCCTGTTACATTTAATTGCTTGTTTAGCAAATTCCTACGCATAACTCTTCAGACTTGTGAATGCATACAATGGCTCAAACAAATCACAAATAGGGGCATGCTTAAACAAATTTTATGAAACTGGGGTACTGTGTATACTTTACAGATGGTTAACTGGATAAATATAGCTACATACCCGGGTGAGCTCTTCGCTTCTGAAAAGATCACAAGGCCTTGAATTGACAGTCTTTGAACAATGGCCCTAGGTACATTCAGCTAGATGTCCTAAATGAGGCCAAAACAAACATTACAGTCGCTTAATGTAGGGGTGTGCATGTGTATATGTATACCTTCCTTACTGAGGTCATTATCCATGGAAACTTACGTGGGTGAGGGTTCATGGGTGACTGTGTGTGACTGTGTGTGTGTGTGCGTGTGTGTGTGTGCAGACACACACGCAATACATTTAAACATGTATATCTGGGGGGGAGGGGTGGCCGACCATGGTGGAGTGAAGACTTGCTGCTGAGAGCTCTGCTGTACCAGGGCACCATACAGCCTAAATATCCAGCACTACTAAATCCCCCGCTCTGTCCGACACCAGGACCTCACCTGTAGCTCCCTCCAACTCCTGGACTAGGGAAATATCGTCCTCCTTTCGCTGCTGCACGAACGAGGAAGACTTTCCGGCCGGCCGTGACATGGTGCCGAAGGTCTCCCAGCAGAAGAAGGCCGCAGCTGCGCCTGTGCAGGGCCTCCGTTCCTCTGCCTCCCCCGCACCCACAGTACTGATGCCTCTGGACTCGTCGGCACCGGAGGACCTCTTCGAACCGGACCTCTCAGCTGCAGGGGAGGTACGTGACCTGCTCACAGCCTTTCCGGCTGACTTCGACACATGGGTCATGCGCCTGGTGGGTGCTGTGAGGGAGCTCCGCCAGAGGGTCACGGCAGCTGATGCTAGCATTTCTGCCCTGTCGGCCTCAGTGACTTTACAGGATGGCGGTCCAGGGGTCCCACCGTGCCCGGCTCCAGCAGCTGCAGCTAAGGGTGGAGGACGGAAAGAACCACAGACGACGCAATAACATTCACCTGCGGGGGATCCCAGAGGCAACTCAGTCCTAATCTACAGGCCAATAAACTAGATAGATTCGGGAAGCCATCCAGCACCTCAGACTTGGAGACTCCGCACCAGAGTTCTCCTTCGTCAGAGCTTCTGCTACGCACCTCTCAAGCTCGCCTGAAACTGCTGAGCCTTGACTTATGGTCGCAGCCCTCAAATCCGCACCTGCGGGCAAGAGCCCCGGCCCCGATGGCTTCACAGTGAAATTTTACAAAACGTTCAGGGACTCTCTTACCTCCTTCATGCTTCGGGTCTTTCACCCTGTGTCCCAGGGTTGCATCGTTCTCGCTACAAGTGTTAGGCCACATTTCCCTGATCCCCGAAGCCAGACAAGGACCTCTATCTCTGCACAAATTATAGGCCGATCTCTTTGATCAACGTCGATGTGAAACTGTTTGCCAAAATGATTGCTAACCGGATGAAACCTCTCCCCCCGGGGGTAATCCATCCTGACCAAGTGAAGTTTCCATGGTCGTGAGGCTCGGGGCAACACTATTAGGACCTTGCTACTGATGCACTATGCCCAAACGTCCTACACCCCTCTATGCCTCCTGTCCGTGGACGCTGATAAATCGGTTGATCGTCTAGACTGGACTTTCCTCAAGCACACTGTCACAGCTGAGTCTACGTTCCCGCATTGCTAAGTAACCTCATGGCCCTCTACTTGCACCCATCGGCCCGGGTCGTACTCACTATGGAACATTTGGCGATTGCCCTTCGTCAGAATTCCTCTTTCCAGGGCTTGCTTGAGTCCCCACAGATCTAAGCTTGCACTGTTCGCTGATGATCTACTGCTCTACGTCACTCAGCCCCGTATCGCTAAGCCCACTATTCTGCAGGAATTCGAGAGGTTTGGAGCTCTGAGGAACGTTTGGGTTAACATTTCTAAATCGGAGATCCTCAGTCTATTTGGGAGAGGAAGATCTCTGCCTCCTTGATAGCAACTTCTCCTTCCTTATTTGCCCCACCTCCTTGAAATACCTGGGAATCCACCTCCCCAGGAACCTGGCTGACTCCACACCCTGAACTTCCGCCCCTTGCTAGTGGGAGAGTCCAGAGACCTGGCTTCATACTACCGTTAATTCCTGTCCTGGCTGGGACAGAATCATGTGCTCAAAATGGACATTGTCCCCAAGTTCCTGTATCTATTCCTAACGCTACCCATTGCCATCCCTACTGTATACCTGAGACACATTCAACAGGCCTTCACAAAATTTGTGTGGGGATCCTCTCGTCCCCGGCTCAGCTATGAAATACTGGCTCTGACGAAACGCAGAGGGGGTGCTGGCGCGCTAGATATCTTCCTCTCCTATGCTTCGGCGGTGTTGGTCCGCATAGTAGACTGGTTCTACCGAGCCAGAGACAAACAATGGATCTGTCTGGACGAATCTCACAGCTGCTGATTTGCTGGCTTTACCCTGGATACCACCTGGCTCCAGGCCTGCATCCGCTGCTCTCCCTCTCTTGACCTCTCACACTCGGAAGTTATGGGATCGGTATATCTCTCACCTGGGTATCGCTTCCTACTTGGGCCCGATGACTCCTCTTTTTGGCAACCCGGCTTTCACTCCAGCGCTGTCCGGATCCTCGCTGGGCCGATGGGATAGAGTTTCACATCGTCGCCTTATCTCAGCTCTGAGAGCTCAGCCTCCGGAATCGGCTACTCCCTTTGGTGCGACTCGTGGAACTTGGTTGGCAGAGGGGCAGTTTCGCTCCGTCACCTCCTTCCCCACGCCGGACTGCTTCCAGGCAGACCCTACCGCTTTTGACTCCCTACTTCTGGCCTCATCGCCCCGGACACACTCAGTTTCCCTCATTTACTCCATCCTCTCCACCATGACTTATTGCCAGTAAAGCCCATGAGAAGAAGTCCCCCTGTTCTCTCACTACTCTATACCTCTCCTCGCTGGGGGTCCTGCCCTGGTTAACTTTTATTTCCTGTCCAAACCCACTTCCTGTGTCCTGCTCAGCACTAGCCCCCCTACTAGAGTGGACTCGCTAACGTGGAAATCCACGTTGGCTCTCCTTCACATCTACCCCTAGAGCTCTTGTGAGGTTGGGCCTGCGACTCGTGGCTTGATAGCAGGCTTAATATGTGTTTCTAATGCCAATTATCTTACCAGCTTAGACATTGCCCGATCATAAATATGTGAGGTACTTCCATCCTGCTAGGGATAACCTACCCCTTTTTTGTGGTTACTACCTTTTTATGTGCGATTTGTTTTCTTTGATTTTGTACCGAATATTTCTAATAAAATCAGATTGAACTAAACATGTATATCCATGCTCTTTATATCCATGTGAATGGATGCCTTTTTAAGACTGGGCAGAGGTTTTTATATACAATCTCTAGAGTCGGCTGCTGGGTAGTCTTGGTGTGCCTCACCCCAGACAGTTATTGGCAGCTTGCGGACCTGGGAAGAAAGAGATTCCAAGAGGTTAAGCAAGTCTTTTATCAAATCTCATCCATTGTATGAAAGCTGGCTTCTAGAGCCAACTAGACTGTACAAGATTATCTAGTACTACTTGGGAAGCAGTCACTTTTGGAGGAGATTCAAGAATATTTTTGGCCTGTTTCTGGGCCTAAGAAAGGCTGCAAAACATCATAACACTCTGGAAGATGAATTGGGAAAACATAAGTTAGGTACCTGGTAACTTTGTTTCCAGGAATCTTCCACGGCAGCACGGATTCCCACCCTGCTTGTTGAGGGGTGTTGTTCAACATGAATTTCAGTGTTACTGTCTGGTGGTCCGTTCTGTCGTAATACTGAGGTGACCCTTTTATTCTAATTGTGGATGATGTGTTTCCTGTTTCATGTGGGTGGAAGATTCCTGGAAACAGTTACCAGGTACCTAACTTATGGGGTTTTTTTTAGCTCTGCTATTTTCAACACTTTTGTGAGGATTCTTTCTAATCAATGGCAGATTCCGGCTGGATACATTTTGAAAGTCTCTCCAGATTGCCAACGAGTGCAGGCTTTCCCAATTCATTTAACATTGAGGATCTGATTGTGACATCCCTGAAGTGACGGTGTTTCTTCTTAGTGCTGCAAGGCCAGGGTTCACCACCCTTGTAATCAGTTCCTCCTTTCCTGACTGAGTGCCCCCAGTAGTGGATCTACCAGTCTTCTATTGTGTAAACTCTTGGTAACCTCTCTCACCTCCAAGATGCAACTCCAGCTAGTCCTTCACCAGGACTGGGTACACAGCATACCTTCTGGTATACCTGGCAATAATTAACAGTGCAGACCACCCTGCCATATTTTGAGATTGTAGGTCTGGCCTGATACCGACTCCTGGCTCAGTGAGTACTTGGGAGGCAATGGGTAAAACATGTTTAAAACCTTATGCTTCTCCCTTCTACTAATGCTCTCTAGTACTATAAGCCCCCATTCACACCAGGGTGTTTTGTCACATGGTTTTTTCCGTGCTAAAGTGCTATGTATTCCTATGGGGCCGTTCACGCAAACGCGTTAAATCGAGTGTATAAATACGCCCTTTGTTTAAAATTGTCCTTGGGCTTCTTTTGTCGCACTTATCACCTCGTTTTGCCCCATAGACTTCAATGGAAACGTGCCAATCAGAGGGTTTTTGCGCGTTCAGACTTTTTTTAGCGCGAAAAGCAGTCTCGGCTTTAAAAATAAAGCTGAGACTGCTTTTCCTTGGACAACTGAAAACGTGCCTTAAAACACTATTACAGATGAACAGAAAACGCCTGTAAAATGCGCATAAAAACCACGCAAATAAAACGTGTGAAAACGCTGCAACACTGATGTGAATTGAGAGAAAAAGAGAACCACTCACTTAAAGTGACATTAAACCCTCAGATTTTTTAACATAAAACAATACTGTAATGTGTGCCTTACTGTAATCCATGGTTGTTTCCCTTCTCTTTGCTGCTCTTCCTTTTAAATCTGTATCTGTTCTCATGCTGGGCAGAACTTCTGTTTTGCAGCAGACTGCCTTGTCTCTGAAATGGATACAGCACAGCAACACAGATATTTATATTTTGTTTGTAATGTATAGATCATTTTAGTCTTAATATATATTTTGGCAATTTTTTTTCCAGATAAACTGTCTGAAGGTATTGACATTCCACTGAGTGACATTAGAACAGGTAGTATGCATATATTTGTTTTTATTATCCCAGTTATAGAAAAACATTTTGTTAATTGTTTTCCCCCCATCTTTTGATCTCTCTAAACAAAACAAGTGTATTTTATTTTTGTTTTAGTTCAACAATACATTGAAATTTTTTTTACTTTTATTACAGCTTTAGTTTTAACGCAATACATTTATTTGTATCCTCATATACATCAGAATATATTTGTTAGATATATTTCTTCAACTATAAATCTAACCACAACTTGGCCTATTAATAGATGTTTCCCCCAAGATTCACTCTTTTTCTGAATTGGATTCAGTTAGAGAAATGTAGGAATCCTGGGTAAATGTTGTGTGAACCTAGTAACAAAACACTGAGGACAGCTGGGAGCACTGGGGACCCTCACAAACCTTTCGGTGCTGGTCCGTGAGTACCCAAATGGTGTCCCTCACTATCGCAGATTCTTAGGGACAGGGGAGATCAGGGATGGCCCAGCTCCACAGCTGTTAATGGTTGAGGGTGGTTACATAAGACTTCCCCCGTTGACACTGCTACATATGGTTTGTGTATTAGCCCACCATTTTAGCTCACTGCTCTTTCTGATGCATCTACCAGCCCATCTGGAGTGACACTTTCTACATGCCTTACCAAAGAAGATTTTGCAGTATCAATTACCATATTTATGGGACAGATATAGGCTATGATTAGTGCCTCAGCGGATGTGGCCATGGCTACTGCCCGTTTGCCAGATGGGGAGGAGGAGGAGTGAATTCTTGACACAGTGATCCCTACCTCCTTGGGCTCAGAAATATGGTGTCAGGCGGATCCACCTTTCACTATCCTTCACCAAAGGTTGTGAGACACTATTGTGGCGCTGATAGAGGTGGTGAGGTAATACTTGTCCATTGAACCTTAAGCAGGATTGTCCTAAGATAACCAGCCAAGACTTTCCCTACGCAGTCTCTAGTGAAGGGGGAGGTACCTAATGCAGCTTGGCAACATCCTAGAAAGGTTTATGCACCTACAAAACACTTTTTTCACAGCAATATCCTTTTGAGGATACCCTCCTCAAAATAGTAATCATTTCCTAAAGTGGATGCAGCTCTTTCTTGCCAAATCCTCCTATGACCCAAAAGAGACCTAACACCAAAAAAAGCTTTAACCATAGTTCTTTTTTAGGCGCACGGTAAACAAGTGACTTGAGGAGCTGTTTAAAACTTTCTTCACCTTTTTATTGGTCCTACCTTGCAACTGGCAGTAGGTTATGGAAGTTTGACAGACTCTGGTGGTCTGGAGAAAACGCATGGTACAGCACCTGCTGAGTCTGGGCCTTCTGTAGGCATAAGGGTAGACTGCTGTGGCTTAAGTACTACTGGTTGGCGGAAGCCCCCACAAGTGAGGGCTCACTTGTGAGGAGCTGGGGTGAGAGACAGTCTGAAAGGCAAAGATAGAGGTCAATACGTAGGAAGAGTCTGCTGGAAGAGCAAGGGCGGTGTGACAAGCCAAGTATCTGTGTTTATGTAAGCATTTACATTTTTTAATAAAGGAGTTTTTTTAGGCTGTTACATTATGGAAAGTATTGGTGCTCTTTTGAGCTCTGGTGCACCGGATTAATAATTACACTGGTCTACAAGTTTTGGGAAATTATCGACCTCCAAGATATGTGTTTAATTCTTGCATATTTTGATTAGATGAATTAGAAAACAGGTGATAAAGGTGCTGGTTGGCTAAAGTATTCAAGATATTTCACAATAAAGCTTTCACCTTCACTCCTTTTGTCCTGCTCCGAAACATTCCAATTAGGTCTCTCTCCACCTCTTGGATGTGGTTAGAGCGGTCCAGGTTTATCTTTCCTCTACAGCAGGGGGTCTCAAACTCCATTCACTCGGGGGCCACTGGACAATTTTTTTGGCTCAAATGTTGGTGTTTGTAGGGGAATACTTATTTGGCAATTCTTTGGACATCCAAAATAAGGAAGTCCTGCAGTTGGTGGGGGTTGGAGAGGGAGGACTCTTTTGACCCCCAAAAAAGTATTTATAAGCTCCTGCTGGTAAGCCCTAGGCCCCTGAGATGAAAAGAAAAAAGTTCCTTGGTTCCAGAATTTTGTATCCAGGGTCTGCACATTGGAGTTTGTTTCTGTCTCCACCGTGATTAGTGCTATCAAACTTGCCAACCTCTTTGCAAAAGCAGGCAGATCTTTCCTCTCTCAAAGGTTCATGGCCCGTCCCATAGGAGAAATTGTTCCACAATTTCTCTTTACCTGTTCACGGCATCGTCCCCAAGGCAAAAGGGGGCATTCGCTCCATTCTGGAAATAAAGATTCTCAAATTCCTTTCAGTTTATAAACTCTGCATGGAATCTGCTTGGTCAATCATAGCTTTCCTTCACCTGGGAGATCTTCTAGCCTCTGTGGACATCCATGGTGCTTACTTGCACATTTCCATTTTCCACTTGCATCAGCACTACCTGCATTTTGCTGTGGGCATGCAACATTACCAATTTGTTGCCCTTGACCTGTCTACGGTACCTTGGGTCTTTGACCTATCCACGGTGCCTTGGGTCTTCACCAAGATGGTAGCTAGGGTATCATCATCATGGGATTTCTACATGATCTCCTGCTAAAGGGAACTGTCAGTTCAGATTTTTATCAGCCAGTGTCTAATGGACAGCGCAGACCCTGCAGAGATTTATATGGATCCTAAATGTCCAAACAGCACTGGATGCAACTCATCACTTGGGAGTATCTGTGCCTAACTTTGGATTTGGCTTTGCAGGGTCTTGATCCCCCCAGACAAACTCCAGTCTCTCTGTTTTCATGTTTGACTCCTACAGTCCAGGAGCTAACCAACCATTCACTTTGCATGAAGGGTTCTGGACCTAATGGTGGCCTCCTTCGAGGGAGTCCCATAAGCCCAGTTTCACTCCAGACCATTGCAGCTCAGCATTCTGTCAGTGTAGAACTTGCAAAATCTGTCCGAATTACTCGCTATACCTGACCAACAAATCTAAGTTCGCCCTGGTATGGTGGCTTTCCAACCCAGTGCTGGAATCAATTAAATCTTTCTTCCTGATGGCCTGAACAATGCTCGCGACAGATGTCAGCCTGTCCGCCTTTGGATACCTTTTCCATACAGGGGACTTGGTTGTCTAAGGAAGCTTGGTTCCTGAACAGTATCCTAGAGCTCACGGCAACTCAGTTGCCCCTTCAATGCTGGACATTTCGGCTGCAAGGCCACCTGACCATGCCTGAATGATATAGTGCTCTTACAATGGGACTCCTGGCAGATTCTCCATGGGCCTTCCCAGATCACTGGATCTTCTGTCCCAGGGGCCAGTTAACAATCTTTCTTCTTGGTCGCTGGCTTTAACAGCTTGGTTTTTGATGCCCAGGTTTTAAGTTGCACAGGTGCCTCTCGGATTTGGTCATCCCTACACCCCTAGAGGCTAGGAAATCAAAAGTCTACCAACGCACTTGTAAGGAATTCTTTGCTTGCGGAAGGTAGGAAATTATTTGCCAGGAAGTACACCCTTGGCCCAATCCTGTCCTTCAGTTCAGTCTGGATGAGCATTTGGCCTCGAGTACCATCAAGGGTTTGGCCTTGGCAATTTTTTTTTTTTTTTTCCTTCAAAGACCACTTGCCTCTTCTTAGTGAAAAGCATTTGTACAGTTTGTTATTCACACTGCTCCCCCTGTGTGTTCCTAAATGTTACTGTGGGATCTCAACCTGGTTGTCATTTCTACAGAAACCACCATTGGAGCCTATTGGGGATATTCCCCTATCTAGCCACACTCATGGCTAATACCTCTGTGAGACACGTTTCTGAGTTAGTAGCTTAAGCTTTAAGAATATCTCCTATCCTAGCATTGCACAGGGATAAATTCTTGAGACATTTTACATTGTCGGGTACATTGTTCTTCCCTCTTTATTTCCTACTCCAGTACATTTTAGACTTATATTCCCTGGCTAAACATGGTACTCGCTTGTTCGTAGCCATCTGTGAGCTTCAAGTGCTTTCAGACAATTTGATTCAATCTTTCCCGTTCCTGAAAGGTCACAGTAGGGGCCACCCGGTCTCTTGTTCCAATATTTCCAGGTGGATTTGGTAACTTCACATTCAAGCTTATAAACGAAGGTACAGTAAGGATAAGGTCCCTTTTTAAAAGTGCACTTAATTAGTTCAGTCAATTTTTAATGGCCTTTTAGAATCAGACATCTGTTTTTCATATTTGCAAGGCTGCCACATGGACCTCTGCCATGTTTCCCAGGTGGATGTTTGGGTCTCCATCTGAAATGAAAAACCTTCACCAACATGTGTATAACGTCTTTTAACCATAGTCCACAGATAATGGCAAATTTTTACACCTGTGGCTGACTTTTATTGCCCTCTGCTAAGGGCCCATTCACACCACATGCCGATTACCTCCAGACCAGACTTTTTCCTGACCCAAAATGTATCCCTATGCCATTTCTGGCCTCTGTACCCACCAGCGCAGTGCATTCCAGACCAGAAAAATACTGCTTGTCCTATTTTGTCTGGTTTGGAATGCACTGGAACTCCTCAAAAACGTCTGAAACGCACCCGTTGGACCATTTTAAGCTAAACGAAAAAATCCAATCGTGGCAAAAATGCAATGCACAATGTTCCAGATCTGGTCCGGAAAATGGTGTGAACCCAGCCTAAGTAATCCACGATGGATCACTTTTCAGGGGGCAGTTGACAGCAAGTTATAAGCGTAATTGAAATTTTAAAAAAAAATAGATGTAATGTATCAGTAATGATAGCTTAATTGAATTTGTCCTCCAATTTCTGCTGAAGTGGATGGTGATGTTCCCATAGACCTGTCATTGAGCAACAGTGGGATATGTTAAAATTTGTGTAATTTGTAAAGTATAGGTATTACACATTGTTTTAATGAGGGGTATGGGAGGAAGTGTTTTGTTAGGATGGATTGGTCATGTTTATCTACCTTGTTTTTCTTAGATTTAATGATATGTGAATAAAATTAAATGTTAGCTATATATTTTGTTCTGATAACAAGTTATCTCTTTAGTACCAGTAAAGTCCCAGTAAGGTTCTGGGCATTTTAGTTAGTTAGTTTAGTATTAAATTTTGCATGTAGGGTTGATGTTACTTTCCAAGTAGTCAAAATTTTCCCCTATGTAATATTTAGATAGTAGGGTTATATAAGGCTGTCATTAGAGCTTACCAGTGTCTTTTCCCCCAAAGGCAGCTTCATAAATCATGGTCTAAAATTACCAACCTGTGTCCTGTTAATTTACTCCAAGAAAACAATTTTCTTGTTCGTCATCACAGGATACAGGGAGGCAATTCTTGGACCACTTGGCAATGCAGCTACCTTCAGGTGATTTTTCAATTCAGTTTTCCCTTTTGCTCCACCCAGCAACTGTGGTGCCTCCAGGAGTTATTTGGATCAGTTTTCCCCTTGGTAGTGTCTTGGTATGGACCATATCGGGACCCCGTCAAAAGGAAACCACAGGTCTGGCCTTTAGTGTGTTCAGTCCCCTTCCATCCCCGTTGCCTCTGCTGATACAGGTGGGGAAAGCAAAAGGGTATGAAGGGGACACAGAGCGCAGCGGGCTCTTAGCGGGGAGGAGAACAGGAGGAGGGAAGCTGGTTTGGCGGCGGAGGTGGCAGCCAGTGACCGTAAATGGGCTGAAAAAAGCCCGGGTGCCAGGATGCAATTTCTAGTTGTCATGGTGACCTGGATTTGTCAAGCCCTGCCCTACTGTATCTATGGATAGTTGCCACAATGTCTCTTGGAGGTAAATTGACCCAATGGGAGTGTTTTGTACCCTTAGCCAGCAGCAACAGGTTTTAAGCAGTGTGCAACCAACTTTATTACATTTTCAACAGCAAACATAAACAGCATTTCTATAAAAGTAAACCCTAGCTTTTTTTCATCAATACTGACTGAATTGTAAACTCATACATGTAAAGGTTTTGGCCTGTCTTTAAGTACTGTATAAGTCTTAGGTTGCAAGCTCTCTGTATGCTTTGAAAGTTGTGTAAAATGTGCAAATATCTACACACCTTTTTTTAAACTTGTAATAGGTTTTCATATTTTCTCATCTACTTTTTTCCCCAGAACCATTCAATGGGGAAAACACCCGTCACCTAAATCTTTCAGGAGATCTCTCTGAACTGGAGCCTCTCAAGGTAAACCATGCATGCTTTTTTTTTTTTTCTATGTACACACTGTCTCGCTTACCTAAACTGCATTCTAATCTTGAATGGTTTGTGGTGACCTCTCATCTTTATATGTTTGCTTTAAGTAGTCACCAGCACACGATGCTGGTGACATCTTTATGCGTTTGCTGATATTGGCGGTGCCATCCGCAGTAACCACGAGCACCCTCCCACTACACGGGACATTTGGTAAGGAGTGCAACAAGGAAGTTATATACTCTCTACTTAGTCTACATAATTTTTGTTGGTAGACAACTGTTTAGAACAAAATGTTGTGCAGCTTTAGTGAGTGTACATACGTGCCCTTATTTAAAGAGACCCTGTCAACAACCTAAAAATTTGCAAGTAAAAATAAAAAATAATACTTTTTGTAAATGGTTACTTGCAGTATTTTCCTTTCCACAAATTTGTATTTACTTGCTACATGCCTTTGAACCCGCTAGAGTCAATTCCTTAGCACAACCCCCCTATCTCTGCAAGTAATAGTCTTCTCTTCTGAAAAGTGTCTAATTACTCTGTGCTTGCCCAGCTCCTTCAACCTTCCCTTCACCTCCCTACACAACCTTTTATGTGGCTGCCAAGGTAGGAGCGAAGAATACTACTCCAATGATAGCTCTAAGTCTGTTGGAGCAGCTGACATCATATCCAAGATGGCTGCTCCACAAAGCAATTTCAGGGCTTTTAGATGGCCTTTGCATACGGTACAATAAGTTAAATCTGTACATAATCTTATGCGCATATTTGGTCTCTGTTTTGCATGTCTTGACTGCACAGGATAGGTACAATTTTCATCTATATTGCATTCTGTCATCCATTTTGATTTGAATGTTATCAATACAGCAAAATACTTCATTTTTGGAGATTAATAATGCTCTCCAGCTGGCAGAGTGCATTTTCTTGGTATCCAGAGAATCAGCCTTACTGGGAGCTGAGTCTGTACTAATGTAAGAATCTACCTATGTAGGATCACTCTCATACTCAGATTTAATTCTGTACTGCTGTAATTACTGTTCCGAAAATATTACATTCTCAAACAATTCATCCCCACACAGCTACCTCCTCATGTAGCACTTGCCCCTCCCTTTTAGATTGTAAGCCCTCGCGGGCAGGGCCCTCCTTACCATCTTTTATTGAATTGTATTGTAAAGCGCTGCGCAAACTGTTGGCGCTATACACTGAGTGGCCAGTTTATTATGACCACCTGACGTTTGTAGGCAAATTGGCTATAATTTTGCGCTGAAGTTGCTAGAGGGCCAGACCATTATGAATAGGGAAGCAGGTTGTTTACCACGACAGTAGAAGTGATTTTTTTTCTGAAGATATGGGTAAACAATGCGATTTAACAGCCTTTGAACGTGGGATGATTGTTGGCGCGGAGCCATGGAGCGAGTATCAGCAAAACAGCAGAATTTGTTAAATGTTCAAGAGCAGCTGTTAAAGTGTTTAAAGACTGGACTGTCAGCCTTAACGGTCTGAACGTGCGAATTGTGCCCGTCAACGACCAGTCAATGTTAGGGCAGAACGGACAGTGGCAAGACTGTTAGAAGACAACAGAAGGGCAACAGGGCAGTGTCATATTCCTCACATCACTTTTCAACATCTCGTGGAGTCATCTCGTGGCCCAACGAAGTACTGATGGGGTGGTCATGAAAATCTGGCCACCCAGTGTATAAATCCTGTATAATAATAATAATAATAATACTGTGAATATTGTACTGCTCAGGTAGAATGTCAGTATTCTACCTCATTGATATGTTATTATTCATACTCTGTTGTGACATACTTTTCATCTCATTACTAACACTCTCTGTCACAGGAAAGGTCTCTCAGTACTGGGGGATCTTTGGATCTTGGGGATGCTGAAGACCAACCAGTCTAATCCTGCCTCTTTCATGTGTATGTAATGCCAGCACTTTTGTTTTTCATTTAGTTTCAACTTTTCATATTTGTTTTTCGTGAAAGTATTTTTCCTTTTCTTCATGGTGACTTGCTGTTCTGCCTTAACTGAATAGTGGTTTATTGTATCGTTTGATATTTGTTCTTTCCAGGTACTTTTTCTGTTTTCTCATTCTTTGCTTGTGCAAAAACATGTATATCTGCAGGAAGAAATATTTATTTTTTTTAATCTTTTTTTAAACGGAGTATGAGAATGGGAACAGAAGCAGAATGGTTGCACATAGTGACCAATCAGGTTTTATTTTCTGGGTAATTTAGACACATTATCTGGTTGGGCTCCTTAAGTAACAGCTCCCTCTTGCACCCATTTCTCCCTAATTTTGGTTATAAATAGGTCAGAAGATTTCAGTAAAATGACAGCAATTGTGATTGTTAGGAAAATTACTGACTTGTCATTTTTTTTTAATTTGTCTTATATTTTTATGTAGATCTGTTGGTTCCATGTAGAATCAGCCAATTCACAGATTCATGCAATTAATCACACAAGGCTTCAACTTGTATAAGAGTGGTGTATACAGCAAGCTTCTTAAAAGCACATGTAAATCTTTCAGCAAACTTGAAGTGTTAAAGCATTAAAGAAAAGATTCTTCACTAAACCTTACGCATTTTAGTTGGTTCAGAAGTTTTGGCTGTAGTGTGACTGAGGTAAAGTGCTGTCTTTCATTGTGACCATGTGCAGATGTTCTACTTAGTAAAGAGGTGTAATGGGAATTACAGTAATTGAAAATACTACATATAGTTGAATGCTAACATGTTTAGTAAATGACTTTATTGAAGCTTTGAATTTGTATATTTTGGCTTCCTAGCCAATCAGGAAAGCAGGTCATGACCTAACGGAAGGGAAAGATCGGCAGCAATTCCCCAAAAGGTCATGATTGTGCCATCCTAGACCGCTGTCCCAAACTGAGTCTGCCTTCCTCCTCAGGGAAAACTTTCAGCCTTTTTAGAGTCCTCAGACTGCAAGTAGGCCCCGTCATCCTTTCCACCAAAGTCCATATCTGATATTCATCTGGCTGCTTCCTCAACCCCTGAAGGAGGATGAGGATTGTACATCACCCGGTTCAGAGGACTCTGTACCTGCAGAAGTTCACTCTGCTAAAATATCTTCCAAACCTAACAACAACAATTTTTTTTAATCCTTATTTTATCCTTATTAATTGAGGATATTGTAATTGGGGAGACACTGGGTAATAGTGATCACAATGTGATTACTTTCACTATTGGATACAGGAAAGGGGAAGTGTGCTGGACGGACAAGAACCCTAAATTTCAGAAGGGCTACCTTTTGATAAGCTGCGCCACCTATTGGAGGACATCAAATGGGAAAATTTATTTCTCAACCTGAACTCGGACCAAAAGTGGGATTGTTTTAAGAACACATTATATATTGCCATTGCCAAGTGTATACCGTTGGGTAATAAAAGTAAAAGATCAAAAATTAAGCCTGTATGGCTAAATAAACTGTAAAACGACACCAAGGACAAGAGAGCGGCATTTATAAAATATAAGATGGAGGGGACAGCATTGGCGTTCCATAACTACAAAGAATGGAATCAAAGATGCAAACTAGTAATTCGGGCAGCTAAAATAGAGTGCGAAAAGCATATCGCCACAGTTAGTTAAAAAAAAAAAAAATTCTACCAATACATAAACAGTTTCATTCAGAAAATATATAATGTTGGGGGGTTTTACGTCATTTTCAGGCCTAAAATGTGGAATATAACATGGGTGCAAAAATTGAAAAAAGGGCCTCAGTCATGAAGGGGTTAATGTACATGATAAAACACAAAGTTCAACACAAAATATACCTCAGTGGTTGACCTGAAACCGGGATACAACAAAGACTTAAACTAATGCAAATAAAGCATTGGGACCAGATAACCTGCACCCCAAGGTACTTAAAGGAGAACTATGGGGTCAGTGTTTTTCCCCATAGTTTTTAATTTCAATCCCGAAGAATATAAGGCGATACAATCTTTGAGCAAAAACCATAATCTGCTGATCAAACAAGCAGATAAAGGGGGTGGTCTAGTAGTTCTAGATCTGAAAGACTACATAACCGAGGCATATAGATTGCTCTCTGATACCACCACTTATGCCAAGCTTAAAGGAGATCCGACTCCCGAATTTAAGGGTGAATTCACCAAGTTGCTAAAGGAAGCATTAGACTCAGGGGTTTTATCCAAGCCATCCATGTGTTCTCTATTTTTATCACATTCCTAAAATCCATAAAAACCCTTCACAACCCTCGGGAAGACCTATCATAGCCGGGATGGATAGCCTTACTTACCTACATTTAGCCAGCTACATAGATTTTTTTCTTCAGCCGCTTGTGTGTGAACTACCCTCTTATGCTGGAGATTCCAGTCACATTTTGGATATTTTAGAGCATTGCACATGGAAGGATGGGTATATTTGGGCCTCCCTTGATGTGACATCTCTTTACACTTCGATAGAGCATCAATTGGGTCTCCAGGCAGTTCATTACTTCATGGCCAAATCAGGCAGCTTCAATTCTTCCCACACAAGTTTCCTTCTTAGAATTTACTCTTGCCCATAATCAGGGCTTGAAAAATTTGATAGTGTCTCACCAGTCAGTCAAAAATTTCACCAGTCAGCATGACCGGACTATAGCCTTGCAATTTATGTTAAAGTTTTCTTTTGGAGGTATATAATCACCACGGGGGGTTTTTGTTTTTTTTTTACTATATAATTTAAAAAAGTACCATAAATGTAAAAAAAAACAGTTTCCCTACGTCATGTTATAAAACATTTATTCTTACCCATATTTTTAGTAAAACATAAAAGTCAGGGTCACGTCGGGTAAATAGACACCAAACATGTCTAGCCTTAAATTGCGTGCGCCCGCAAAAATCGGAAAAAACGCCCATAGGTGACGATTAAAACGCTTTTACTGTTCATCAGTTTAGTGTTATCAGTGATTAAAGGAGAACTATGGGGTCAGGGCTTTTCCCCATAGTTCTCCTTAGGGTAACGGCAGGACACAAATTAGCGTCCTCCATCACCCTAAGCTCAGTATACCGCGAGCTGCAGCTCGCGGTATACTGAGACGCTGAAGCGGATCCCAACAATTTTACAGCGCGTCGATCAGCGCTGTAAAACGCCCAGGTATGAACCCGGCCTTATTGGCTCTAAAATTATTGCTCTCACTCAGTTTGCGGCGATATGCAACATGTTCGGCACGTAGGCGCACCTGACGCATATATGCGTGTGTATTAGGGGGGCGCGGACTTTAAAAAAATTTTTACAAAAATAAATGTTATGCTTTTATTTTTTTTATGAATCTTTCATTTTTTTATTTTTTATTTTTTTACATACAACTTTATTGCTATTACATGGGGGGCTAAGAAGCCCCCTATGGGATAGCCAATTTACATGACAGGTCCTCTTTA